GTATTTTTTTTGATTTTCTCCTATTCATTTCATCGTATTTGATTGATCTTGTTTTCATTAGATTCTCCATTTAACTCTCTACGAACTGGACAGAAACATTACGACATCATTTTAGAAAACATATTGAAAAAGTTGACTACGAGAGCTCTGCTTAATTTTCAGAGAAACGTGCGTTTTGTTTCGTTGAACATTTCTTCTACCTTCTCGATGTTCATGTATGTTGTCACTGTGTGTATCGATGTAAGGACTTCAATATATTTGCATTGTCAATATCGTGAATCACTTCTAGACGCCATTTGGTTTGTTTAATAAAACGGCGCCGTTCATATCTCGAAAAACTTTCATCAGCGCCGTCACTATTGTCACACTCAATTTTTACGATATTTCCTAGACATATTTTTTCAATGTTTTCTAAAATAATGTCGTAATGTTTCTGTCCAGTTCGTAGAGAATTAAATGGAGAATCTAATGAAAACAAGATCAATCAAATACAATGAAACGAATAGGAGAAAATCAAAAAATACTATGAGACCTATAGTTTTCTACGGCAAATTCGAACTGTTTTGACAGACTATATTTTAATGCTGTGCGAATATCTGTTCATTACTTCAAGCTGATACACGATAGAAAGGTTTTTGAACACACAATTAGAAAGCTCTTTTGACGCCGATTCTGACTAGTTTTTTTTTATTTTTCCAAAATCTGTTTTAGCATGTGAAAAATGAAGATATATTTGTGCAAGAACTTTTGCATCACCCATTATACATGCATGATGAAAACACTGTAGAACAAACAGTTGATACCTTATGTTTACAATAGGGTTTTTTTTCTACTATTTAGCTAATAAAGATAAGTGTTTTTTTCTTTCTGTTAACTATTTGGCTACCATCAAAACAAAATTTACTCGGTCTTAGTAACATTAAATATAATTGGTATCAAAAATCTACAGTAAGAACATCTTACACATTTCTATTTTACGCTGATCTTTATGTAATAACATTTCCTATGGTTATTTTTAAAAAAGCTCGTCATCACAATTTCTTTTCACAATAATCTCATTGTAATGGAATAGTTACGTATTATTTCATTATTTCAAATAGTAGTATTCGTCAGTGCATGATATTGAAAGAGTCGGATTGCTCTTGAAATAGACCAAAAATAAATTATTTCTAACGGGAAGAAAAAGAATTAATTAATTTTTTTCTATTTCCGTATAATCCGTTCATTTATATAAAAATTTTATGAAATAGTTTTTTTTTCCAACGTAAATGCTTTTAGTGTATATACATTTAATGTATTATCTTATGCATAGATTTCATAAAACTTTGAATGACAAGTGAATTCAATTAAAAGCATATTACTTGAATGATTGTTGAACTTTTTCTTTTTTTGCTGTACTTTCAGTTTGAGTTATTTAAAATAAAGAATTTATTTTTCTTGAGTAGTTTTTTTTTCTTCTTCTTCTTCGCCTGATCATTTCTTCCATACTGATCGTCCGTACATTTTTTCCTCGTTACAATCAATAAAATATTTTCCCTTGATTCGATCGATCATAGAATACATAATTGTGAAAAAAGAAAGACACAAAATAGAATAAGACCAAAATACCATCAACGTGCAAACGTTTTCCTATCATTGTAATAACTCACCTCAATCATCATGTCTCAGTGTACGACACATTTTGTATTCCTCAATCCATTCATTTTTTTTATTAATATTTTTCTTTCGTGTATCTTATTATGTCGATATGTTTTGTTCTTTGCTTATGTGCACAAGTAATTCGTTTGCTTGTAATCGTCATCTTTTATTGAAATGATAATAGTAGCTATGCTACAAGAATTGTTGCTGTTTTTTTTCCTCTCGTTCCTTATTAATACTAATATAATCATAAAAATGAAAGAGAAAAAGAGAGAAAAAAACAAAAAAAAAGAGCAGAGACGATGATTGGAAGTGGAAAAGAAAGCTGTATCAAGAAGATATATATTTTTATGTTTAACTTTCTTCTTATTTGTAGTTTTGATTCATTAATCAATGACTTCACTTGAATATTTTGATTTTGATTTACTTAATAATAGCGATTATGAAAATATATCTTCAACAATAAATTTAACAAGTAATATTATTTCATCGGATACAAATGAATTAAATTGGCCTATATTAACTTTATCAATATTAGTTGTAACTGGTACACTTGGTAATTTACTTGTATGTATATCAATAACACTTGATAAACAATTACAAACAGTGACAAACTGGTTCCTTTTTTCATTAGCTGTTGCTGATTGTTTAGTTAGTCTTATTGTTTTACCACTTTCAATTATTAAAGATTTCCAAGGTAAGAATTTAAAAGACAATCTTTATTTGAAAGAATCAAAATTGTGCTATATCTCATATATCAAATAGATATAACTATGTCGCTATTAATTGCATTTTAAAAACACAAATAAGAAGACCACTTGAGATCAAGTTTTTCTCGTTATTTGAATAATCAATTTTGCATAGATGATAGATCAATACATGACAGTTCTTTATTTTTAATGTCGAGTTTACATCAAAATAAATATAATTAAAATGTCGGATAAAGTCTAAACAGTTAAAAGTTCATTATAGCTGAAAACATGAAAGCTCTTCAATAAGAAATGTCATCTTAAAACATATTACTCTGCATTAATTTACACTAAGAACTTTTGACACGTCTTTTAACTGAATTAATAAAAGGATCTTTTTTTCTGTAGAATTCTACAGTGAGTATCTTATTGAATAATTCTTTGATTTTAATTATAGAAAAATATGTACGTATATAATGTTTTTCTTTTAATGCAATTTTATCATGCGCAAAAAGTTTTCTCAAGAGATTTGCTTCAATAAAATTTTTTTCTTTACTTTAATTATTGGTACTTTTGAAATAAATAACAGAATTGTTTGAGCATACTTCAATATAATAAAAGAAAAACCATGTCAATCGTATGAATAGGCTTTAGTTAAGATAATCTTCTTAAGTTTTGTTCTTTATTTTTCATCACCTAAACTCTTTTACATTTGTTGTCATGTATTTTGAAAAATCATCCTTGTTGTTTTTAATACTTTACATTTAGGTTCGTGGCAATTACCAATCATATTTTGTAATTTATTTGTTTTTTTCGATGTTCTTTTATGTACAACATCAATATGGCATTTAACAATTCTTTCAATCGATCGTTTTCTTCGTATATCTCGCCCATTTCATAGTCGAAAACGAAGTAAATGTAAAACATTTTTAGTAATATTTTTCATTTGGACATTTTCTATTGCAATATCATGTATTATATTTATTCTTGGTTGCATTGATGACAAAAATATATTAATTATAGTAAATGAACATCGACGTCATTGTGCACTTAATAATCGTTCATTTATTATTTATGGTTCAGTCATGTGTTTTTGTATACCGTGTATACTTATGCTTGTTACATATTCATTAACAATTCGACGTTTACAATTAGAAGCAGCTAAATGTTATACAGATCCAGATGATCTTTTAATGATAAAACAAACATCAGATCGTTTAAGACGACATAAATTAGCTTCGAAACGATGTCCATCATCTCCAATTCATAAGCGTAACTCATCGAAAGATATGTCAAGTACGTCACCAACAGCACCTTGTTCACCAAAATTATCTTATTCACTAACATTACCGGATACAGATAGCATACAAAATCCACTTCAACAAGTGTAAGTTACTTGACATTCAAACAAAGAAAAAACAAAGTCAAATTCTTTTTAATTTCTCGGTGAATAATATAGGAAAATAATTCATGAAATGAAATTAGTCGACCATTATTAATGCGCTGTGAAGTACAGCATTTATATAGTCCCTTGTGATTTCTACTGTGCTAGACATACGCATCGAAAGCTCGATATTTTCTATCGTGATTATCTTGAGAATGTCAGAAAATACTTATTCAAATGTAAAAAAATGAAATTTCATAATCAAATCTATGCCATCCACTGTTTGAGATCTTCAATGGCAAGTTTTTATGAAAAACTATTCCAAAAAAAATACTTTTTTGTGAAATTAGTTTTTTTCAAGCTTCGAAACCATTGGGTAGAAGAAGAGGGTACATGTCTTTCAGGTATCTTATGGTATGAGATTCTTCGACTCGTAGCTTCCCTACAACTATGACTAACTGTAGCTCTGAACAGAAGGCCGACCTAATTCAGAGCTCTTGCGCTCTATTATTTGAGCTCCTCATAAACACCAACTAATCCAAAGAACAGGTATATGTCATAACACAATCAGCATGTTATCGGACAGGTAATCTGAGATGTCGAAGATCATTCCATGACTGGTGGTATCCAAGTTTGAGTATAGTACCTTGTAGATACATATCAAATAAAGTGACTATTCAGCCATGACGACTAGCGTTAATTAAAACGAAGACAGCAGCAAAATGTAGTCGCAACTATTTTTTTTATCTATATTTAAGGCAATCATGACTACATCTAATGAGTCGATCGAAAGTATTTATTAAAAATGTGTTAATATCTATTAGGAAAGTTTTCTTAATTAAAAATTTTAAAATGGCTACTGTTCATTTTCCTTTTAACTTCGATCAGCTGATCGATCGAAAAATGAATATTGTAATCGATCATAGAAATGACTATTCGTTTCCTTTTAATAAGATATGAACATTTCCGACAATTGAAATTTTGCGTCGCATTTCTTAATCGAGTGAAATTTAAATGTCATCTAGTTTCAATAACAAATCGGAACACATGATAATATGTTTTTAGCAAACGAATGAAATCAATAAAATGAATCCATCGAAAGCAACATAAATATATACTCATAAAACACAAGTTTTCTAACGCAAAGGGAAAATCTGCTAATGTTGAATTCATTTTTTTGAGTAAACGATAATTTAATACAGAATTAGAAAGAAAAATCCCATGAGAATGCATTAATATTCAATTTCTAGTATAATAAAAATCTAATGACAAGTTACACAAGCGGAAACATGAAACATTATGATAATGTATCTTATGCGACTTTTAGTGCTCCACCCGTTCCATCAGCACCAATATCAAATACACATCAACGTTCATTTCTTAATAGTACATTTGTTAAAAAAGCCGTTCATGCATTTAAAGGTGGAACAGAAACAACAAGTGAACGTCGTGCAATGAAAGTTCTTGGAATTGTTTTCTTTGTTTTTCTTGTTGCTTGGCTTCCATTTTCAATATTAAATATACTTTCAGCTGTTTGTCCATCATGTGCTATAAAAGCATCATTATTAAATTTAACTAGTTGGCTTGGTTATATATCGTCAAATTTAAATCCAGTAAGCAAGAAATAGAACTTAATCTTTTGCTTCATTTTTTTTTAATACAAATATTTTTTTGTTTTGTTTAGATTATTTATACAGCATTTAATGTTCGATTTCGTCGTGCCTTTTTATCTATATTAACATGCCAAACAAATTATTTTTCACATAAACGTAAAGGCAATAATTTATATATATTTGTTGCTAATAATAGTCATCAACAAATACCTATGGATCATGAACAATGCTTTTTTCCCTCACGTCGCTTTCTTAATGAACGTCAATCAAAACGAAGAAGTTATACTTCATAAACCTTTTCGAGTGTATTGAACATTTTCTTTTCTTTTTTCTTCTTTCATTAAAAAACTATGATAAACACCTACCTATATGGTTACGATTATTTTCTATTGATTTGAAAGAAATCCGACTATTGTTTTTTGTGTGCATAATTACATCATATGAATTGTTATTATCTTAAAAAAAAACAACAGAAGAACGTAAAAAATTGTGTCAGTCATTGAACTGGGTATTATAGTTGTAAGCAATTGTGGACGTATTTGTTTTCCACATGAATAAACATCAGCTAGACTAGTGATTGTTGAACTAGATTCTGCTGATGAATCAACGTTAATTGTACGATTTACAAATAAATACAAAAGCATCTTATATTAAAAAAATTGCCACTGAAGCAACATTTCTTTATCCACGCTTTGTTCAAAAAGCACTTAATCTATGGAATTTAAGTGAACAAGAGAAAACAAAGTAATTGTGGAGATTTTATTTAACTGAAATAGGAGGTATAATAAGGACAGATAGGTTTCCTTTTTTTGGCTGTGATTTAAATGATCAATAAAATAGATTGAACAGTCAGTCATTTATGAGAAAAATTCTCCAACTGATAAATCAAGACTATGTACGTTATGTAGACTCGAATGAACTCTGAATGCCCTGAAAAAAGTTCGTATCCCTAGCGTATTGATGTGAAGATATTGCACTTGTATGGTTTTTAAATGAATACCTCGGTAATAGAAAAACTGATTTTAGAACTACGACTTGAAACTTTACATAGAGACACATCTGAAACGAGACTAAGTAGTTTTGGTGAATGTTTCGCTGTTTCTATCCTAAGATACAACTATGATAATAGTATGTCTTTTACATCACTCATATCAACCTGCAGATTTAATGTTCTTAATAACAAACAGAAGCAAATTAAGAGACCATAGATATTCAAAAAAACACTACTTTCATTAGTATAACTAATAACTCTAGTAAGGATAATGTGTCATGAGAAATACAGAATCGTAGCTAAACAATGAAAAGATAAATTTTGTGTCGCAATATTTCCACATATTTATTTTGTATCAGATATTTTATCGTAATTGTTCATTTTTGACCTAACTAAAAACTGTAACTATATACCATCATGATACATGAATGTTATTGATCATCCAAAAAAATAGTAATACAGAACTGGGACGACAACATCGTATATTGTTATTATAGTTAAAACTCATCTTTTTTATTCTTTAACTGCAATTTTCTATTTCTTATGCAACTTTCATTAAGGCCTGTTTCAATATAAAGTTTCAAGTCGAAATTCGAAAGTCAGGTTTTGATATTACGACAGTATTCATTTTGAAAAAATATTTCAAAAGTACAGTATGTCCTCAGCATGAAGTTAAGGACACGAACTCTTTTCAGAGTACTCATAATTCACGTGGATGTATATAAATGCAAGTAATCTCAACTCAAAAGCGGTTTATCATTTGGAGGATTTTCTTCGTTAGATTATTATAAAATCAGTTAATTTAATGATTATTCAGTGAATCATCAATCCTGTGACTCCTCAGTCATATTCATTCTGATAACATAAATACTGGTCATATCATCGAATTTACTGGCTACATAGTTTGATGCCTTTTTTTTTAAGCTGTTAAGATTAATTTTGAAATTATAAGTAAACTAACATAAAGAAAATATCTTCAATTGTTGCATTCTGAGATTGCATCAATGAATTTTAGGAATGATTTTGAATTACAAATCTGACAGACAGTTGGCAACATCTTTAAAACGAAGTATGTATTTGAACAGTTAATACTAGACCCTGATTCTACTAGAAGTGAAATACTACCAATATATTCATATGGATAAATGTTTTAGTAATGTGTACGATCGTTAGCAAAATCTTTAAATTCACGATGTAAACTTAGTGTTCAGAGAAATTGTATAACGAATCTATTTGTCGAGGATTCAAGAAAGTTAATTAAATCTCATATTTAATGTTTTATGTAATATAATATTATCAGTGAGTAATATATTGTTTCGCTACTCAACTTTCTTTATAATTAATACTTTTTTTTGTTTTATCAAGGTGTGGTCTTTGTGATCGATAGTAATGAGCAAAAACGAATAACGTTTTCTACTCATGAACTGATGAATTTATCGGAAAAATTAAGCAATCGATCATCAGTATCTATTTCAATTGTTATTGCTGTTAATAAACAAAATTTTTCAAGTTAGTTGAAAAACTCTATCTCTGATTCTATTTTTGTTTTTAATTACTTAAACGTCATGAAAAGTCGACGAGTGTTAATAAATCTGAAAAATAAAACTTTAATTATTCTATCATTTAATTAGGGGATGGTATTATGAAAATATTTTGTTTTATTTTACAAATTATTCAAAATGGCCGATAAAATTATTTTTATTGTATAGAAATTATGCATGAAACTTTACAATGAATATCTATTAGACAAATAATTTCTTGATTTGTTCATCTCGACTTGTGATGATATGAATACAGTCATTTACTTTGTTTTCGTCTTTGTCGAAATTGACTTTATTATTTATTTTCCTTTGTTTGATCTTGTTTAATTGTTTATTACTCTCGACTTATTTTCGTAAAAATAAACCAGATTTTCATGTTGTGTTTAATTTTTCTTTTAAGGAAATTTTTATGCAATTCTTGACAAAATTTATTCCATAACTATCAGACAAATAAAGGTAATATTGTTCTTAATAAAAGAATCAAGAAGAAATAACGATTATGTTGTTATATGATATTACGTTGACATTATTATCATATAAGAATGTGACATGCTCTATAATTAATAATAGAAACTAAAACTGTTCGAATGTATAAGTCAACACGATCATTATGACATACTTTTCATTGAAGTAATATTATTCTAAGACTTAGTGGACTATAAAGAATACATAATGTTTCATTTAAAATACTTATGAATTGAAAAAGAAGAGAATGTTATTCAAAACTAGATGGTATTCGAGTTTCGACTCGAATACGAAATGCGGTGCGAAGCACACGTACCGAAAATCCGAAAAACGAATTTCGAATCGAAATCGAATAATCGCTTGATATATCATCGAAATTCGTTCTGACATTCTACGTCAAGGTTCAAAAATAATTGAAGATCTTTTCTGAGTTAGGGATAAGCGATAAGCAAACATTTTTATCGAACAGCTGATCTAACCTCGATCAGACATGAAATTCATTCATTATAAAATTCATCACTAGAGAAACTTCACCAAAGCATAACGACACTTCTAGAAACCGTTGTTCGATTAATTATCTGAGTAGTTCATTATCTTCTATCAAAAAACAAAAGAAAGAATTTGAATGCACTTCAACAGGCTGTGTTTGTCGACACTGTCTAGATTTTCTTCGCTTATATCTTAACCGTTGCTGATGATATGAAGTGAAATTCGAATGGCTTTTTTCGAATCTTTTGGCAAAAAACCCAATGTGATGACGCATAAATAATTGAGTCATAAAAACGAGTATTCCAATCATTTTATCGCTGCTCGACAAGGACAATTCGTTGGCTAATTCTTTTTCTTTGATTCAATTGTTTTTCCTGATCAATTCAATGATGGCAAATGAATTTCCTGTCTGATTAATTAATGAAAAAAAGCATGAAAAACAATTAGTTGATTACTGATCGATTGAAAACATCATATGGCTCAGACATCAGCAATGTATTTTAGAAAGTCAATCGTCACATCTTGTTCTGAATGCTTGAGTCCTAATTCAAAGCAGTATTTCTAGAGAACAGATTATTTTTATGAAAGCCAGAGAATTATACTAGATACAAAGTGACCAATTTTGACGAATATGATCAATTCATGCATAATGCACCTATTCAAGCTTAGTTTGACCTTAATCGAAGCTACTTTACAATTTGATCACCTGAATTGATAGAATATTGATTCAGTTACTTGTTGCTAATATATTCTTATTTTTAATAAACGGTTAAAGCCACATAGCTTTTTTGTAATATCAACAGTGGTATCAACTTACAGGTGCACTTTTGCAAAAAGAGAACACTCGAAATGATGAGTGACAACTGACAAGAAAAAGTCTAATAGATGTTTGCGCGAGACAAGTACAAAAACAAGCGCTAATTGAAAAAAGACAAACATAGATAAACCTTTACTTGATATCAGAAACACAACTCACTTGTTCTATGTCGTTAATAATTATTGCTTCGGTGATCTTTGCTTGCTTCCTATGGGCATCAATGGCGGGCGATCCTCCTTCACAATGCCGATATTTGAATTCCATTCATGATTCTGCTGCCGAGACTGCTTTGGTAGGATATTATTCTAAGAATGAACCGTTCATCTTCAGTGAAACTAACTTCTTGCAACCATAATGTTTGCTTTGTGAAAGTCTTGATGGAGAAGTATGTTTCGGATATAAAAGAGGAGCATCATACGGAATAAAAAGTGGCAGAGTCCATTCAGTTCGACTGTTAACCAATATACCGTACATTTATTCACTGGGAGAAAACGTGAGTGCTTTATATACAATGGCCATGGCTATTGCTGTTTTGCGTGAAGATTTGGTCATTTCTGATCGTACATTGCAACGATTCAAGGTTAAACTTGAAGGAAAGGTTGGATTGTTCTTTGTTTGTAGAATGTTTTCGATAGGGAATTACGACGTTGAATCCTATTGTGAGCTCGAAAAGAATAGTCCTAAAAATCTGTTTGAAATGCTTACGGGGTGACGCGTGAGAACACACGCTCACAGTGACGGGGGGTGTGTATAATCTCGTCTTTCGTCTATATGTCAATACGATTGCAGTGAATGCAACAAACGGAACTCTTCTCAATAGTAATATTCGGGCAAAAATTGATTGTGGCAGTCAAAAAGTGACTATCGAATCTCACAGTACTGTGCCAAATGATTCATCATGTTCTACGGAAGATTGATAACTACATAGACTGTGCACATAATAACATATTTTAGGATCGGATTTGTGTTTGACTTATCAATTCGAATATG